TATCGTCGCTCTTAGCCAATCAAAATCGAGGATCTGCCGGTCCAAATTTGTTGCGGCAGCTATTACTATGGTTAATGTCAAAAACATAGCTGCGCAATAATTATTATTAAATATCACATAGTCTTTAAATAACACAATGGAATGCTTTGCTTTGATATCAACATAAAGAAATCTTGGTTAAGTCTGGAAGACGAAATTACAGAAAATGGAATTTATACTGACATTGAGACACTTAATGTATAAAAATTTCGAAATTTTAGAAAAAGATATAATATGTGATATTTCTTCTCTATGACCTGTTCTTCTAATGTCTTAATTTAAATATAAAATTACTCGCTTCCTCCCACATAAACCATCTATTTCAAATTGACTTTTATTATTGCTCATAATTAATATTAATTCTTATATTAGATGGTTACAGTTATTATTTTGTTCGTGGTTATTATACCACAGACTTACGATCTTATCTTGGTCAACTACATTCTCCTCTAAGCTGGAGCGATAAATTAAAGTTGACTCAGCAAGTAGTTGAAGGCCTGAAGTATCTTCATGATCAAAATATTATACACTCAGAGCTGGTAAGAATTTAAATACCTTATTATGCTCATAATTTCGGCCAAAATTAACTTATTTAATTCTTAGCACCCCAAAAATATAGTTGTACATGAGGGGATTCCTAAATTAACTAACGTCTGGTTATTCCAAAGCAGAGACGACAATTTTTCTTATTCACCTCCAGAAATTTTATTGTCTAATGATGTTGAAAATAAAACAGTAAAACTAAATATTTATTCCTTGGGCGTTCTAATGTGGGAAATTTCGAGTGATGGCTTAGAGCCTTTCTTTCGAAATAATTCAGTTAAAGTTAAATTAGCAATTGACATTATTAAAGGCTTACGTGAGTCGCCTGTAATTGGAACACCACGTAAATTCATTGACCTTTACAGTAAATGTTGGGATAATGAACCTGGTAAAATTCAAATTAATTTATCATTTATTACTTTATTTATTGATAACTATAATAAATTAAATGAAATAATATTTAATTTACGACTAGCTATTCGACCAACTTGCAAAAAAGTTCTTGATAAATTGAGAAATATATCACTTTCAGACCTATATTATGAAAAAAAAATTCAAAATACTGCCGATTTTCGGATGCATAGACCTAAACCTATCATTGTCGACCTAGAATTGCCACTGGCTCCACTGGAGTTGGATTATGAAAAATCACTAAGGCAACAGAAGTTAGAGGCAGAATTTGTTAATTATTTTGCTTTAAACCGAGGCAGAAATATTCAAAATTTTGTTTTCCCTCGCGCGAAAGGAATTGTATTGTGTGATAATGGCAAACCAATACTTCATAAAGTGAACTCAGATTCTCCTATTATCTACATTTCAAATCACGCGGATACAATTTGGAATAATTTAAGAACCATAAGTTTATTTGATAATATTAACGAGGAGAAAATAGATAATAAAGATTTACAAATTCACGTTCCCGTATTAACTGTTGAATATAGAGCTGATGTATCTGATAGTTTTGTTAAAGACATCGAGAGTGCGCTTAAAATTTCGAATGAAAGTGAAAGAAGAAAGGTTATAGAAAAGCAGTTTAATCATTATGGTAATTACGTTGTCACGAAGTTCACACTTGGCGGTATTATCACTATTAGAGATTGGTTAAACGTATCTGATGAAAGTAAGACTTATTTAAGGAACTATATAAAATGGGCACTTGAATGTGGAAAAGGACAAACTTCTGAAATTTTTGAAGACGTACCACTTGATAAAATACCTCCACTTGAAGCTGATGACGAAATGGATACCCTTGGCGACTTATGCAACTGGTTTGCGAGAATATATGATCTTGAATTTGCCAAAGTTATATCTTACAGAAAGCTAATCCCATCTTACAGATTACTACCAGATGGTTTACAACAAAAATTATTTGATCTAACTGGTTCTAAACCCTTTGAGGCACCCGTAGGTGAATTAGTTCCTAATATTCTAGAAAAAAATGAAAGAATAGAGCTTGCAAAATGGATAGAATTAAGGCCTAAACTTGAATTATTTTTATGGGACTGGTTTCACAATAGTTCACTCCAATATGGTGTAATTCTACACAAGTCAAAACTTGGTCATGGAAAAAAGGCGGCTTTTAAGTTTTTAAGGGTGCCTACCACTACTGAAATCAAAAAAGTCACTCTTTTATTAGCACAACCCCGAAATCGTCAAGAAGCATATTTATTAGAGAATGGCATAATTATGAAAGATGGGAATAATTTAAATTTTGATAATATTCCTTTCGCTGAATATAGTTCAATACTTAGCTGTCCTTTGGAGGATTTCAAGTCCGCTAAAAATCAACCGTCTCGAGCCATTTACTGTCAAATAATTGTCAATATGACAAAACTTTCCTTTAATTTTGGGGATATCAAATCCTTACAGAAATATTCAAATAATGTTAATATAGCGTTTCAAAGCAATGAACCATATAAAAATCTTTGCAAAATATTTGGAGATGATTATGGACATTTATTGCCAAGAACTTTAACCGTAGGTGGGGTTTTGTTGAAAAAATTTGAATCTTATACTACAAAAATTTTATCAGAAACAATTCAACACGAATATGACATAGATGATCCCAAAATAATTGAAAAAATTGAAGCACATCTAGAAGAGTGGAATGAACGATTTAACGTGGACACATCATTTTTTATCAATGGTACTGGCGGTATTGTTTACCGTGATAAAATTAACACTTGGCTTGATAATTTCCTGAATCTAACTAATGAAAAAGCGTCCCAGAAAGATCAAAATTGGAGTAGTAATTGGAGCCTTGTTTCATCTGAAGACTGGACGCCATTATACAAGATTCTGCGAAAATCAAGTACTGTTATTGATAAAACTTTCAGCCAATACCAAATTGTTTTTAATGGAGAAGAATTATTCCAGAAGGATGAACAGGACATTTTCGTGATTAGATTCCCTGGTTCACTTATTGACAATAACTATCACATCTTTGGAGTTATCGTAAAGAAAGATGAAAAGGGTGATTGGATAAAATATGCATATCCTAATTTGTCAGTCCGGTTTAGTTATCAGAGTAAAAGTAGTTGCTGCGTGAATATATATAAAGATAAGGATTTCAATATACGGTATATATTAAAATTGAAACATTCTATTAATTTATCTATTAATTTATTTATTAATTTTATTAAATTAATTTATTAAGGCTAACCAGAAAAGATACAAAACTCATATGGTTCGTGCTCGCTGAGCCAAAGGGATTTTGTAGCAATAAAAACAGAAATGTTAGAGTCCTCTACGGAAAACTCACCGTTAAAGATAATAATTTATCCGATATACATTTAAAGTGTAAAAATCTTACTTCAGATTGTGTTTTGATAACATCAATTGTCTCCAATGACAATTCGGCATTTTATAGCATTAAACCTAAAGCTTGGGCGAAGACTAAAATTATTATAGATATGACAAAAGACAAATCGGAATCTGATCCAAAGCATGATAAAGATGGATTTGATGATGAGGGTTCTGATAGCGAGATTGATAATGTTGATAAAACAGAACAAACAGTTCAAGATACGATCCTCAAATGGTGCATAATCTACAATGACGGAAGAAAATCTATGATTAGTGAAGTTGATAATTCACAAATGCTTCCTTGGAATTCATTTGGAGATTATCTTGATGACAGTATGGAACGCTTGGAAGAAGATTATGATTGGCGTTTTGAACAGAAACCTCAACTGATGTTAGAACAAGCAATTCAACAACATGATTTAGATGATGGTGATTTGCTTGAAGCATGGAGGGTCTTCATAAATTATGCTAGGAGAAAAGATCATATTGCACTTTATTGGATTGGATTTTACCTACAATATGACATTTTAACGGCTTCTAACCTTTTTAGAAGAAGATTTTACGAAGAAGCTATAGATGAGTTTGCCGAAGGAGCTGAAACAAATTTACAAGCCGCAATGATGCTCTATAAAAAATCTGCAGATTTTGGCTATCCTGAAGCGCAGCTAAGATATGGTTATGGCCTTTATTCTGGACAAGGTGTCCTCCAAGATAAGGTGAAGGCTACGCATTATTTTAGATTGGCAGCAAAGAATAATAATTATAGTGCAATGTATAATTTGGGAGTTACACTAATATTGGATGGAAGTGACAATGAAAGAAGTGAAGGGGAGAAATGGCTGATTGATGCTGCCAAAAACAATCATCAAAAGGCTATAAATTATTGCAAAGAACACCATGTTGATTTTTAGCTTTAATGCAGTACTGATTGTGATGATTTTTTTTTATTTAATAATTCAGATTATAAACTATTTATTTACATATATTTCTTATATTGTATTATTCCTTCATACAAATATGTTGATATCACTAGCATTATGATATTAAATAATGGATTTATATTGCTTTATAGCCATTCATATGTCAATATCCTAAAATATTAACTGCTTTCTAGTCGATTAGTAACTTTTAAAAAGTTCTTTTGTTACTGTTAAGTATGAATATAAATATTGTATCATATCGGCGGATTTCTAAAGGGCCCCAATAATTATGGATGATTAGCTAGGGTGGGACAATATATATTTTATTGTAATATAATTGAAAAGCCGAAGTCTCATTATAAAAAGTAATCAGTTGAATGGTGGGGTAATTAGTTAGAAGTTAGACGTTACCGTACCGCACTGCCTTATGCAATATCCCTCTTCAAATAATACCCGGGTACATTACAAAAAAAAACTCTCGAAAAAATTGTATAAGACCCGGGTATTAAAATTCCATGTTGATAGATTAATTAAAATTGATTAAATAACAATGCCTACCTCCAAGTCACAATACCCTCCAAGCATAGTACCCACTAGAGTTGTAGGTGAAACTAATTAATTTCACCAGTTTCACCAGTTTCACCTGGTGCACCATCGGTGCACCGTTGAAGATTAGCTTC